CTTGCCATAAGAAGGAGGAGGGAGATGTCTAGGCTGGCATGTGCATACAGTGAGACAACGAATTTGACTGGATCTGTACTGTTGGAACTCAACCAGGAGTTGGGAGGGGTGCAAGTTGTAGCACCCCAAAATCTCATGACTATAGACTATCTATGGTTAAAAGAACATATGGGATGTGAACAGATCCCAGAAATGGGCTGCTTTAATTTGTCTGATGGTTCAAGTACAGTTGGAAAATATCCATCATATCATAGATAAATTTTCACAAATGCCTAGGGTGCCTAAATGGTTTTCTTGGCTTCACTGGAGATGGCTGGTAATTATAGATTTGCTTTGTTTATGTCACCGTATTCCTATTATGTTAATATGTGTGTGCAAATTAGTTAGTAGTTTAAAACCTATACATACTTAAGGTACTATACAAGAAGATATGTCAAAGAAATAATCAATCCTCCCAAGTTTCCTTCATATGCTACATCTATAGCTTTTCTTCTTCCTTCCTAATTACAAACCTTAAATAGAATTCGTGCCTCATATCGAATTTACCGAGTATCATAATTCCTCCAGGTGGTAAAGATACCTCGAGACAAGTGCTGGGCATAGAAGCCACAGGGCATAAATCTGCAAAGAAGTAAAAAGCTAACCTTTGCAAACAATATGGCTTCTCTCTCACTTACCAACTTTACATTTCCCTGTATGGCCCCGGAAGATGACTGGTTAGCCAGAGACGGGTAAGATTCCTCAAGGGAGGAACAACCTAAGACAGGCACAGTCGCAGGGGGGCCATCAGGTGAGAATTTGGGGATCAACAGAGGTGAGGCTCAGAACCTCACCCCCCCTGCTTTGAGAGAAATCTTCTGCATCCGTGGATGTCTTGCTGCCCTTGTCTAGCCTGGATTAATACTTAGTCCATAGGCACACACCTGATCATCTGATCATCTACATTTGCCTTCTTACAGCACTAAACTATGTTTTCTACCTTTATCTTGCATCTACCTACCACTTCAGCATTTTATTAAAAATAAAAATAATAATAATAATAGGAGAAATGTGGGATCAACATATAAATCAAGTACAAAAATCAAATGAATATTCATATTTGACCTGATGGTTTATAGGTCATATTGCATGATCAAAACCGAAAGTTTCTGTGATGAATGCCCTTGTACTGTTCACCATGTAAGAATTTATTCACTCTGTAAGAATTCGTTCACCATGTAAGAACTTGTTCGTTATGCTTCAGAAGATTGGAGACTGACGAGAATTAGGCTTGAGATGGATTAATGATTGTACATTGAGCATTGACCCCCCTATACTGAATTTTATTGTTGTTAACAACCATTTGATCAATAAATATGAGAGATGCCCTCTCAAAAAAAATAAAAATAAAATAAAATAAAAATACTTTATTGCTGAAAAATGTTAACCATCTGAACTTTCAGCAAGTAGTAATCACTGATCACAGCTCATCACTACAAATAGCAATGAAAAAGTTTGGAATACTGTGAGAATTACCAAAACGTGACACAGACACAAAGTGAGTAGATACTATGGAAAAATGGCACCGACAGACTTGCTCCATGCAGGGTTGCCACAAACCCTCAATTTGTAACAAAAAGCGTATCTGCAAAGCACAACAAAGCAAGGGGCAATAAAAAGAGGTATGCCTATATTTTTACTGGACAGACCATGAAAACCCTGGGAAGGGAATGGAAGTCCAGATCTTCTGTTTCACCATAGTCTTTTATGTGTAAGTGACTAAAGCATTTTTAGTACTTCCAATATTAAATCCTTGAAAGACAATGATCTAAAGTGGAATAAAAAGGAGTCAAATTTACTAATCTCCATATTTCAAAGAATAGATAAAAGTCATTTCCTTCAGAGGGCTCATTTCAGGGATTATAAGCTCACATGCCATCAGGGACTGGTCGTATATGTTTATTTTACATAATTGCAAATTAAAAATAATTTTATTGTCTTAATCAATAAAATTTGGCCCATGGGTTACTAACTTATGACATCTGAATTTTAAAAATCACATTCTTTATTGAGATATAGTTCATATACCGCAAATGCACCCCTTTAAAGTGTATGATTCAGTGGTTTCTAGCACATCCACAAAGTTGTGTGACCATCACCAATACAATTCCAGAACATTTTCATCACCCCAAAAGAAACCCCATACCCATCATCAGTTGCTTCCTATTCCTCCTCCCAGACTCTGGCAGCCACTAGTCTACTTTCCATCTTTATGGATTTGTCTACTCTGGATATTTCATATGAATGGACTCATACAAAATATGGCTTTTTGTGTGTGGCTTTTTTCCCTGTGCATAGTTTTCAAGGTTCAGCCCTGGTGTAGCCTACATCAGTACTTTATTCATTTTTATAGCTGAATACTTTTCCATTGTATGGGTTAACACCTCTTGTATATCCATTCATCAATAAATATTGGGGTTGTTTTCTCTTTGGGGCTGTTATGAATAATGCTGACATGAACATTCATGTACAATGACCTCTGAATTTAAGTTAAAAAAATTAAAATTAGTTTTGTAGTTCTTATGTTAATATGGCTCAATATTATACATACTAACAATTAATATGGTTCATATATAGATACAGTGAGAAGTTTTTTCCCACCCCTTTCTCCCACATGCCTGATTGTCACTGCTTTCTGTCCCAGTAAGTGAGCACTTGTAACAGCTTCTTAAGTGTCCTTCCAGCATAGGCAAATGTCCTAGGTTTCTGTCTCTTTTTTTTTAAGTAGAAAGGTAGCACCCTGCACTCTCTTGCACCTTGCTTTTTCACTTGTCTTGGGTATGTTTCCATATGTTTCTAGGCAGAGTCCTTATTCTTCTCTAAAGCTACACATTTTCTAGTATTTGGCTGAACCGCAGTATATTTAACCACTTTCCCTTTGATGGATGTTTTGGTGATGATTTAAAATGATTTGGTATTTATGAAATCTACTTGTAAACTAGTCATACAGTAATAAGCAACTGATGAGAGACAAAACCAGGTTTAATAATGAAGAACAGAAGCTCCATAACTTTAATACTAAACAGGAAAATTTCAAAAGGCTTGAGGCTGCTTTTCAAAATAAAATATTGTCGTCTTCTCAACTATTATGCTGTCAGATAGAACTAGTTATCTGAAATAGGAGGAAAACTGGCAAATACAGATTATGGTCTGGTTGAGCAACTTGTTTTTAACCTATCTTTTGCTTCTCAGAACAGTTATCTTTCTCATCCCCAATTTAATTTAATGGGTCATTTTCACTAAATCTGATGACAGGGAAATCTCAGGAAATACTTGTGAGAGTTTTCTGTCTATGGCATTTAGCACATCTTTTATTTTGTCGTAAGACCAGAATTAAGATATGCACCTATAAAGTTTAGACCAAACAGCAATCAAGTTGCCTTACAAAGTCACTCAGTTTTCTACTAATTGTCTATTATGTGACCTTATAAAAGTTGTTAGGTTGCAAGAACAACAGATCAAGTCAACTTCATTATCAGTTAAAACAAACTATTAAAAAATTAGTTAAAAAATAAATTTTGGAACCATTGTACACTGCTGTTGGGAATGTAGAATGGTGCAGCCACTATAGAAAACAGTGTGGTGATTCCCCCCAGATCAGAAACAGAACTACCCTATGGTCCAGCAATGCCACTCTGGGTACATATCCAAAGTATGTGAAATCAGGATCTCATTGAGCTCTCTGCACTCCCATGCTCACTGCAGCATTAGCCACAACAGCAGAGATGTGAAAACAACCCAGTTGTCCACTGACAGATGAATGAATAAAGAAAATGTGGTATATACATGCAATGAAATATTCTTCAGGTTTAAAAAAGGAAATCCTGCCATTTGTGACAACATCACTGTTCCTGGAAGACATCATGACAGACATAGAAAGACAAATAGAGCGTGATCTCACTTATGTATGGAATCTAAAAAAGCCGAACTCATAGAAACAGAGAGTAGAGTGGTGGTTACCAGGGTTTGGGGGAGGGTGAAATGGGTAGTTTTTTTCAATGGGTATAAGTTACAGTTATACGAGATGAATAAATAACATAAGATGAATAAGCTGCAGAGATCTGTACAACACAGTGCCTATACTTAAAGATACAGCACCACGCACTTCAAAATATGTTACAGATCTCATTTTCATGCCCACCCCAACCTGGCCACCACACACACAAAATGCAAAGGGACACAAGGAAACTTTTGGAGGTGATGGATATGTTTATTACCGTTATTGTAATAAACATTGTAATGGTATCATGACTGCATGTGTATGTCCAGACTCATCAAACTGTATACATTAAATGTGTACAGTTTTCTGTATATCAATTACACCTTATTAAAACTGTAAAAAATAAATTGTATACTTCTATTTACTGTTAGGTTGGCACTGTGAGGCAAATACAACTTTCTCTGCTGTCAATGCCATTAGGTTTTGTGCTATGACATCTTTGGTTTGGTGGTTTCTCCTAAACAGCTATCATTCTGCATTCCCATGATATAAAACACCCAAAACCCAAACAACTGAGCTTTGAGCACCTCAGAAGAAACACACTAAAAAGTTCTAAGTTATCATTATAGGAGCAAAGATGCATTACTTATTTTACTGACCAGAGAACAATTGAGGTGCTGACTATCCAGTTGAGAGAACAATGGTTTGACTCCACCGACTAACCCAGGTAGAAACTGAAGCACAAAATGAAACCAGTAGATGGTCACGGTTAGCCATGCGAGAGCCTATTGATAATGGTTGCTGACCTCACCAGGATATGTTCTGGATGCTGAGATGGGGAAGTGAAGTCTTTTCTAACAGAATGATTAAGGGGCTCATCACTCGGAACTACGTCTTCGGCTGGAGGTTAATTCTTCAGAGTCTGCCTGATGAATGGCTAACAGCTGAGTTTCACGTTTCCTGAAACGCCTTTCTTAATTTAACTTTGATCTAAGTTCTATCTGTAAATGAGAAATGCAAGTAAGAATGAGGGGTCAATTTATTTTAAGTAAACTTACCATTATATATCAATGTGTACAGTTTCAAACATTTATAAATACTGCAATTTATAGAAAAATTAACTACCTTTAAAAGTATTTGAACAGTGATTTTTCACAATATTTACAATGAACCCAACCTCCCTTTGTAGACATCGTTATGTTCAAAACTTTTCTCAATATCTTTCTTTAATATTTATTCACTCAAGTGGCAGCTCCATCAATAAAACCCAATAGATTCAATAATTTAGAAACAGTCTTATCAGAACTGCAAATGCAAGCCACCATTAATTACAAACAAACCTTACATGTTAATATATAAATATTTCCCCATTCTCAGCACTGACTGAAAAAATAATTAGGAGGCAGTATTTTCTTATTTGTAGTAAACAAATTAACTTTAAGGTATTTTTAAATTGACATTAAGAAGCTAGATTATGTAAGTTTGTAAACTCATAATACTAAATATTTTGAGAAATTCTTGAAGCCATTTCTAAGAGTAAGCCCTTTTTCAGTGGAAATATGACAGTAAGCAGAGGTAATTGTCATCCCCAACAGAAATTATAATTGCTTATCAGCAACTGATAACTATTTGGATGGAAAGAGACTCTCAGCTTTATTCTTAACGTTTTTTCCTTTTTAACCTTTTTTTAACATCCCCTCAAAAGGATTCCAAATATGTCTAAAATTGTGTCAAAGGAAAATATGTTTATATAGATTAGTACTATGTTTGAAAACAACATTTACAGTAGTGTTCCACAGTATTTTTTCTTTTCTTTTAGCATATATCCAGCTGAAATGAACAAAAAGATAAGGTATAAGAAATATAGTTGAAGTCACAATAAAGTACATTTCCTTTTTTTGACATAGGACATATATTTAAATTTTAAATGTTGGCTCTTTAAGAAAAAGTTTTTCCTTTTAATAATATGCATAACCACTGCCCAAAAATGTACACAGTGTTTTCCTCAAAGTATTTATACACATGTGGTCCAGTTAAGACCAGCCCCATTATAACCTACTGAATATACTGTGCTCTTAATTTATAAAGGGGCTACCCTCAGTATATAAAATATATAGGCATGTATGCTATACATACAAGGTAAGAAATATAAAAAGGAGATGAAAAGAAAAAAAAATTAAGTGTCCTTCCCTATAAGATCCAGACAGAAATTCAGTGTAGTGAGACCATGTAAAATGTACTCTTCATTTATAAAGGGGCTACCCTCAGTATATAAAATGTATCAGGCATCTGTGTTATACATACAAAGTAAAAAACATAAAAAGGAAAGATGAAAAGTAAAAGGAAACAGTGTACTTCCTTGTAAGATCCAGATAGCAATTCACAGTGTAATTAGTGAGACCATGTAAAATACTGAAGAATTTCAGTATTAGCGAATCCTTTTCAGAAAAAAAATCTAAGGTATGACAGCACTAAATTTCCATATTAAGAATTTAACAGGTTTCCCTTTAAACATTCAGTGATGCGTGGTCTCGCTAATAGGCAGAAAAAAGACTTTTGGGGGTCCGTGAAAAAGAAAAACAAAAATTCGCTCATTTTAGCCTCTTAATCAAGTGTGTGTAGTACAGAGAATCAAATCCTGGCCCATCAGCATCTGAATATGTTTGATGAAAGATTCCAACGGACAGGATCTGAATTCTTCCTACATCTTAGAGGGAATGGGGCAGGAAGTGATGGCACAGGAGGGGTCAACCCCAAAGGTGGCTGGTCTGTTCTTAACTGTTGATGTTAAAAAACACACCAAATGTTCTACAGCATTCTTTCTGCTGCATTTTCTTTATTTCAAGCCACAGGTCTACTGGAGGGTCATGCAGCAAGTGGCTTATAAATAAAATCAGAGTCTATGAGTAGTGTCATCACATTAGGAGACAATTGCTGGGTTCTCTCATTAAGTAAAGAGCTTGCATCTTTGGAATCCATGAGTCGAATTATTTATGGAATACCTAAAATGGGGGACAAAAACCATATATGTCAATATAATGTATATGCAATTCACAAGTTAAAGCAATGAAGATTATTCAATCATTTATTGAGCTAGAAATTCTATGTTTTCTAAATATTGCTTCACAGTTAAAATGCAACAAATATAATGGGGCCAATTACAAAATTAGCAAATACTAACACTGTTGCTAATTGTTTACCAAGACAAGCAATTCCCACTGTTCTCCTATCTCAGCATATGTTGCCAAGAGAGAACCTAAAGAGATAACCATATGCATTTTGGAACTCTAGGAATTTGGACACTTAATGCATCCTTTAGCTTAGAGATATGCTACATGTCTCAATTTTCACAGAGACGTCCTTTTCACCCTGTTATGGTACCAAAGGGGAAACAGAAAAAAAAAAATCAGTGAACATATTCAGCTGCAATGCCTTTATCTTCCCTTTTCCAGATCATCACTATGCAGCCAAAAACCTCAGGATAATGAAAAAAGTAATAGAACTTTTCCTAAAAGAGCACATAAGTTTCTTTATAAGCTTACTAAATTACAGTTTATAAGCTTTATAAACTTGTAAATTACAGTTCTTCTGGGCAATATTTGGACTGTTCTACCAAGCATTCCCGAGAAGCAAAAAGAAAACAGACATCAGTTAATTCTGTATAGATTTATGTATACAGAAACCCTTTGTAAGGTGGAAAGCTCTAATACCAACATAAGGCATTGTGACTAGGGAAGCAAAAGACTTGAAGAAGTTTACCTTGAATATGAAGAATACAGAATAAGGTAATCTAGATTCACGTTCTCATGCATGCAACCCACATTTTCTCATTAATTAAAAGAGAATCTAATGTTCTACTGACGTAAATAATTTTCATTCCATATTTTTATATATATAGCAAAATGAACAGATGATGCCAAACTGAATTAAGGCTCGTCAGAGAAATATCTACAGATATTCCCCCCATATCAATAAAGTTTAAATTTTGCATTGTAAAGCTAGGGCATCATCTAATTAATTAAGATAAATAATTTAACTCTTTCCCTAACAATGAAGATTTTTTAAATGTTTTACTTTCTTGGCAACATATGAAACAAGTCATTTCCATTTGAGCCATTAATTTGAAGAAAAACTGAGCTATCATTAGGAACAGCTTCCAAAAATGATTAATTATAGTTGAAGTAACTCAAGTCATACAATGTATTTCACAACATGCTGAACAATTTTACTTTTAAAAGAATCTTCAGAAGTTCATATGCAAAAATAGTCATTCAGTTTTAATTTCAACTCCAATTTATTTAAGCATTAATTTAAAAAACTTCAGTTCACTATTCTTATAACTAAATAAAAGTGAATATAACTTTTCCCCAGTTTTAGAGGTTTACAGAAACTCTGCTAACATAGTCTGGCTGAAATTCTTACCAGAGTGAAATAGTACACCTTGTATAGCAAGTATGAAAACCTTACGTATGTTTGAAAACCAATTTAATTAATGTCAAAAATTATACTTTAACTTTCATCTGTCACTCTGAACGTCCTTTCATTTAAGCATTAACAGTAACACTTTCACTTGTTTATTGCTCAGCTGACAGCAGAATTCAGTCCCTTAAAGAAATCATCACCTACTAAAAATAAAAGAGGTTGAGTAGAATCACAGTCCTTAATTCTGACTGCCCCCAAAGATTAATTGGTCTTACTAAATAGACCTTTAATAGATTTTCCAGGTTCCTAGACACAGGAAAAATGAAAAACACTGAAAACTTTGTGCTGAGTTATACACAAAAAATACATTAATGCTAACTAATAAAATTGTCTAAAGAGTAACTGACCTGAGATGTACTTTGCTCCGATTAACATTACCATGCTACTCACTATAAAAAAGCCCAAGGGTAGACTACAGAAGATACTAGGGTCACCTGTGGTCATCCAAGTAGAAGGGAATTCCAGTCAAGCAAACCAAAAGAGAGACACATAATTACAATATTTGTGTTAAGAATCACATGATAGCAAAACAAAATAAGTTATAAAAATAGTATATTCATAAAAGCTAGCAAAGAGTTATTACTTCAAATCAAAAATATAATCAATATTGAAGGCTTATGACAGCTAATGAACAGTACAGATAGCATGCCACAAGTAGTCAAGAACATAATACATGTAGACCAACATAAGCCTTCCACTGGCAAAGCCAAAGAGAGCTGATGGAAGAGACCTTGTAGGGAGGCTGTTGACTTTAGCTGTCTTGATTTTTCCCCAAAAGATACTAAATGAGCAAGTCAAATTCCCCCATAAGTCAAATTATAGATCCTTTGGCTATCAGAGAAGAGTTATATTTGTCTACTGAAAATGAATTTCAAACCGCATTTTTGCTCAAATATTGGTTTCGTTTCTTTCTTCAACAGAATTTGGTGTGAAATGAAAATGCACCTGACAATTAAAATACTGTAATTAAAAAAATAAATTGTATGAATCCACTTCTTTAAAAACTGCCTGATAACACGGTTGTTTTGGTATTTTCTAACTTGAATTCTCTTCGGATCCCTTACTTTAAGGAATATTCCTTATATGTGTGTATTTCATATATGTTTTCCTGGAATTTAAAAGTTATATATCTAGAATATTTAATACTCTTTCAAAGAGAAGTATATTTACAATTAATGCCCAAGAGTTAAGAAAATATAACCACTAGACAAGGGGCTTCACTGAAATGCAACTAGTTAAAGATTCACTGTGGGCATATTCTGAAATATAATAAGCTGATAAGAGTCATTTATTTGCTTTTTGGGGGAGAGAATTTTTTCCCTTTCACCATGTATTTCTTTTTCCTTAGAAGGCAGATATTCATTAAAGAGGGATATGAACTATTTCCCCTATTTTACCACTACTTATGTTATCTTTCACATAAAAGACAAAGTTTCTTTTTGCTTCCATATTTGTAGAGCCACATTTTAATTTGATTTTAGAAAAGGGAACATACTTTCTAGTTCTTTCAGAGCAACCCATCAGTTATGCTGAGTTACAGTAACTGACATCCTGATGTGGCTGCAGTGAGTTTTAGTTTGAGAAAAAGATCCTGAGGATTATCTGCATTCACAAGTCCTTAGTGATTTAGGTGGCATCTACTTACTGAAAATGTTTTCCTTCTGGTGATGATATAGTTATATATATATAATAATAAGTCATATGCTTATTATCTTATAGCTGTGCAATGCATTTTAAATCAAGTTTTTTACCTGTTTTCAAAATGTTGTTTTGGTGGGTTTGGAGTACAAAACAAAGGAGTCATGATAAGCTCTCTCCAACAAATGAAATCTCCAATCACTTCTATAACATTTTAAACTCATATTGAATGTGTATTAAAAATCGTTTATGATGTATTCAGATATAGTTATGAGAAAATAAATATGACTACTTCAAAATTGGCCAGCTGCTTTGGAAGTTAGCTAGCTTAATATTTTTCCCATAAATTAAAGCAATTTAAAGAGAATAAGAGTTCAGGTAGCAATTCTCATCTCCTTTTAAGATGATTAAAGTGGGATTCTATCTGTTATTGTATAACTTATTGATGTATCATATAGTTGTGTCATATAGCTTCTACTGCTTAAGGAAATACAATTAGCATTTCACTAATTGAATATTTTATTCTGAGTTTATTATACAACTTAGAGACCCTCAAAACGTTATATATTTGGGTGCTTTTCATAAATCTAATCAGGAAACATTTTCAAATTTGGCATAAATCCACTACAGTCTAATTGAAACAAAAATAAAATTTGAAAAATCTAAATTAACTCTCAAAAAATCAGATTACTTCTATTAACAAATGCTGATAGTAGAAGCTAAAGAAATCATGTAATTTTCTTTCATCAACTTTTTCTTGACCTTTTAAATTCATTGACACTAAGGAATGCAAACAAAGGGAAAATGATCAATTGCTTTTGTGGGAATTTTGCAATTAAAGTTCTGTTGTCAACTGCTAGTAAAGAGAATTGTGTGTATGTAGGGGGGTGGCATTGAAGTGGAGGGAGGGACACAGACAAGACTGCACCATTTTTAAAAATCCAATTAGTCAAAGAAATCAGAAAACTCAATTTCTCACTAGCCATTAATTAAGGGCAACTAGAAAATAAATTAGGATGCACGTCTGTTATATCTTGCACAGCAACTGCCACTGAGCTAGAAAAATACTCATGGCTGAGAAGTTTAATTATGAAGGGTCTCAAAATTACAGCCTTAGCAAGAAAAGCTTTGCTACTATCTTGGAGCAGAAGCTGAGTCTTAGAACAAAAGACTTTGTTTTAAAAAAAAGGATTTAAGCATATTTAGGAGAAAAAATAAAAGCTTCATGTAGGAACATCCAGGACTAAAAATACAGATCATAGTCATCTGTGATGGTAGATATTTCCAGAAGCTTCTCCTAAAAGCCAGGTAGATTCAAAGTGGTTCTTTACTCACTTTGGGGTTGGAAGGAAGTTTATATTTAAATTTCATTTATAAACTCTCCTCCATTAAAGTATATGCTTTAATATATTATTGGCCATTGTTTCATTCATTATATTCCAAATCTTGCGTTTAGCAAAGAATTAAAATATTATGCCACATTAAAGGCATGTTTAAGGCTGTTAAAATATAAAGGCATATTAAAGGTGGCTTAAAGCTGTTTACAACAAAATGGATTACTTAGTGAATATCTTCCTACCTAAATGATTGAAAAAAGTTCTATTTTGTCCCAAGAGCATTTCCCAATCTATTATGACACTTGTAATTTACTATGTTTAGTATATTTCTTCCTCTCTGATTCCAAGGAATTCCCATAATGTACATTCACTAAAAACTTGAAATCAGCCTGGGAAGTAGTGAAATATATTCTGAAATTAATGAAGCTTTCTGTTGGTTCAGGTCTTGAAGACAGCCCCCCAAAAAGGTAAAGTAAGACACTAAGAGAAAGAAAGAAGACTCTAGTTGATTTTTTTTTCATTAAGAAGAAACTAGAAATAATTTTACTTTTAGAATACTAAGTTATCTATTAAGGACCAGAAATAAACTAATAAGGAAAGATATGGCAGGAGAGAGTTAAGCATGTGTATAAACCTGATAATTGACATTTTATGTCTCGAACTTAAAAGTGTTTTCAAAATGTTAGAAACTCTGTACAATAATGCTTTTCTTCAGAGCAGCCTTGCTAAGTATAAATGGTCAGATACTTAAATGAGCTATTTAACATACTAATACAAAGTGACAAAATAATAAAAACATTTTTACCACTTTCTGAAGACTGGGTTGTAACCCAGCCCATTGACTTCATCACAGCTTTCTTCCACGTAGAATAACGAATTTCACTTTCTAGAAACAGAAGGTAGGAAAAACACATATGAAGGGTAGTTTACTAAGATCTTCTAAGTATTGTACTTATGTTCCCTCAGCAGTCTTGACAAATTGTTACACGTATTAAACTGAAATGAGGCTTTATCAGGACTCAGATTTGGGAGAGTACAGTTGCTAGTGACTGCCCATAACTGGGAGAGAAGCTTGCTTGGAAGTTGAAGGGGAAGTTCAGAATGGTCTTCAGGGTGAAAGGAGACTGGGAGATAGACTACATGTGAAGACCAAGTCATACACAAATAAGTGGTGATGAATTAGAAAGGGGAATCCCATTTTTAGAAATTTTTATTAAGGTACATCCAATAAAATGCATAAACATTCATACACAGCCTGATGAATTTTCACATGTGTATATACTCATGTAATCATCACCCAGATCAAGATATCAAACAAACATTCTAATTTTTTTCCTTCACCTGTTTCACCCATCTCCCTACTCACCCTCCCCTACTGTAACCACCAGTCTATTGTCTGTGTTGATGAGTCTATTTCTGTTTCACGTGTTTTGTTTTCTGAATTCCACATACAAGTGAGATTATGCCTTTGTTTGACTTATTTCACTTGGCATAATGCCCTTGAGATCCATCCATGTTGTCATGAAAGGCAAGACTCATTCTCATTTATGGCTGAATAATATTCCACCATGTATATGTACCACTCTTCTTTATCCATTCATCTATCAGTGGACACTTAGGTTGCGTCCATATCTTGGCTATTGTAGATAATGGTGCAATAAACATAGGGGTGCGTATATCTTTTCAAATTATTGATTTTTTTTCCTTCAGGTAAATGCCTAGAAGTGCAATTACTGGGTCATATGGTATTTCTGTTTTCTTCTTTTTGAGGAACCTCCATACTCTTTTCCATAGTAGCCGCACCAATTTGTGATCCCACCAACAGTGCATAAGGGTTCCATTTCTTTCACATCCTATCCAACACTTGTTATTTGATACTAGCCATTCTGACAGGTGTGAGGTTGTATGTCACGGTGGTTTTGATTTGCATTTCCCTGATGATTAGTGATGCTGAGCATATTTTCAGGTGTCTGTTGGCCATCTATATGTCTTCTTTGGAAATGTGTGTATTTAGATTCTCTGCCCATTTCTTAATTGTATTATTTGTTTTTTGGTGTTGAGTTGTATAAGTTCTTTATATATTTTGAATATTGGCAAGGAAAACCCAACTGATCTGCTTTCTCTTTTATAATGGAGAGAGCTTGGGTTATGGGGAGGGGTATTATCATATGCAAAACCTAGAAGGGTAATTATTTTTGGTCCAAAGGACTTAACAAGTATTGATTTCTCATAAGATTCAACTGTGTTCCTGGGAGACAGGATTTCTTGAAGGTGAAAATTCACAATACGACTAAACAAAAATGGGCACTGGTGCATCCACATACATGGTACTCCTTGCAATGATAATAAGCTACCCTTCCTGAAAGCCTCCCAGCCATTCCACAGCACCTGAAGCCTATAGCACTGGTGAGACACTGCTCAAGTATCACCTGCTTCTGTTCTGGCCCCGAACAAGGAAAAATGAAGATACAGGTATAAAACCTACATCTAGGTTCCCACTCATGAGTGTGCATGTGTGTGTGCATATGTGTATATGTGTGTGTGTGTTTTGTGGGGAGAGCGGAGGAGCTGGTGAAGGGAAGGACAACCGACACAACTGATCAACTCTGGGCAAAGGCCTTAAAAAATGGCAAAGGTGGCTCTCAGAAAACAGCAATCATTAAATATTTGTACAACTGCTTTGCTTTGACTGGGATTAGCATCTCAAGGCCAGATACTTGCTCTGAACATTCTCTGATTATTAAAAAGTTGATTTTTTTCAGAAGTAGAAAAATTTTTTTTTTTGCTTCTTATTTTAGCCAATATTGCAAAAGTTAAAAATTACTTATAGACAATATCAGAATTTGAAGCACATTTCTACAACAAGGTACATGGTATACAGTCTGACTACAAAATTACCAGTTGCAACCCATTTTCTTGTATATGGAAAAGAATGAATAAAATTAAGAACCACTGGCATAGTCATCCAGAAAATTAAACAAAAATGCATTTGGAAGCTTATTTCCCAAAAGCCCCAAATCTGCTGATGATATTTTATACCTAGGTTTTTAAAAAGTTATAAAACTGAATTCAATATATAGAAAATCTTATTTTTATACTCAAATTTATTTCAATTTAAGAGCTGCATCACTATTTTAATAAAAGTGTCAGAGCTTGTGGCTTAGCTTAGTTTGTTAGGACAGTCAATCAGATATTTAATTCCCATTTATTGAAATTGTGGCTGTTTTGTCAGGATAGCCCAGCTGTGCTTAGAAGTTACCAGAATGTTCCTTAGCCCAGCTGATCAGGTCCTAAAATGGGTCACTGGCACCAAAGATGATCTGGTGTAGATATTCGGTGTTGGTAGCTGATATATCTTCCTTCTCACTTTTGAAAAAGGCTGAGCTAACTGACAGTGTTGCAGTGTTATCCTCCTATGTGAAACGTCTGTCAACAGTAGAAGTGAATGGTGAAAAAAAGAGTAATTTTAGAAGTTTCTTGTTTTACAAGGAACTATTTCTCTCATTCACCCTCAATCATTGTAGCCCAATGTGCTTAGTAGCCAATTCTGAATCAGTAGCATTTGATGTTTTACTTAATTCCTTGACTTATGATAAACAGAAGGACAGGCTCTCTCTCACTAAGGTCCTTTTCACAGTATACCATCAAAGTTTCATTCTTTAAATGTACCCTCAGCGTTGATCTGGGGTTCAAACCGCTCCATCGTGACAGCTGACAAGTCCTCGGGTTCAAGACTCCAAACGCCAACTCCTTCTGCAGCCCCTGCCGCCATGGCAGCTCCCAGGGCAGTTGTTTCCGGCATTGAGGGCTTCACTGAGGGCAGAGAGCTCCGTCAACATCTTTGCAGTTACAGTTTTTCCACAGGACACCTAACTCCTGCTGGAGTTTAAGGGAAGGAAGGCTTACTAACCTACTGGGATATACAGAATGTCTGCTTGCAGCTGCATAAGAATTTTATTGTTGGTCATTCCTCCGTCTACCTGTAAATGACTGAGCGGAATTCCACAGTCGCGGTTCATGGCATCCAAAATCTTAAAAAAGCCCAAGCAATGAATATAATTAAACTATTACTTCATAGTAGCATCTCTGAATATGGTAATCTACTTGAAAACCCTCCAGAGCTTCCCAAAGCCCACAGAATAAAATCTGGACTTCTTTTTCTGGTTTCTCAAGGAAGGTTAAACCTTCCTTGATCAGGTCACCATCAACGTTTTCTCTCACATCCCTGCACTCACCCTTATAACCAGCCAAGCTAAACAGCTCTGCTTTTGCACCCCGGTTTCCTGCCCTGATACCTGTGTTTGTGCTATTCCCTTTGCCTAACATGTACCATTCGGCATCCCCCCAACTGGAAAATGCCCAGCCCCTGGCAGGTAACAGGAACTTAGGAGGTAATGACAGCTGGAAAAAGAACAAAAACTTAATTTTTGTTTAAGGCTTGATTTTTGATGAAGTATTTAATAAATTTCCAACATTAATATGGAATTCTTTTAAGAGTCACAAAAGCAGATTAAGTACAAAAGAAAGGCCCATATTTATTACCTCTCGGGTTTGGAAACAAACAGCTTCTAATGCAGCAAAAGCAATATGGCACTTATTGGTGAACTGAGTGAGCCCACAGATGATCCTACAGATAGACATAAAGGTTTTTAAGATTACAGTAGAATAAATGAGTCATCAATCAGGAATGTCCTGAATATGATGTAAAAGGTTGAATTTAGTAGACAGAAATGTGCAGGGGGGAAAATGGACATTAAAAATAAAAATGGACATAAACATTAAGCAGCTTAGAAAGTCCTTATCATCCACAATCCTGAATCCACATATGAAAAAGTTTATAATCCATCTGAACAGATGACAGTACTATAGAACCAAATCAGTATTCATCTAGATGATGTCCCTTTGGCACATACATTGCAGATGCACTGAAGACACAAGATAATAACACTAACATGAATATGGATATGGCAGGGGCTTACTGTCAGATTGATTTATAATTTTTAAGAGTTTAAAGGTTTTGAAATTATATTCTCCAAACAGAAAAGGTTTCTTCAACAGTTTAAAATCATTTGAAAACGGGAAACTATTAACTAATAAGTTATTAGCTAACTAAGTAAATCAAGACCCACAAAAGCATACCTTATTTTCAGTTCTTACCCTCTTGCACTGGGCTCCCAATAAGGTGCATATAACCCCGAAAACGCTGGGACAAAATAGCAGCCATAAGAAGTACCTACTTCTTTAGCAAGTTTCTCTAACATTAAAAAACAAAACAAAATGAAAATCACTGTAATATATTCTACTTACTTTAGTCAATGAATACATCTTTTTTCTTTTGAGAGGGCATCTCTCATATTTATTGATCAAATGGTTGTTAACAACAATAAAATTCAGTACAGGGGGGTCAATGCTCAATGTACAATCATTAATCCATCTCAAGCCTAATTCTCGTCAGTCTCCAATCTTCTGAAGCATAACGAACAAGTTCTTACATGGTGAACGAATTCTTACATAGTGAATAAATTCTTACATGGTGAACAGTACAAGGGCATTCATCACAGAAACTTTCGGTTTTGATCATGCAATATGACCTATAAACAATCAGGTCAAATATGAATATTCGTTTGATTTTTGTACTTGATTTATATGTTGATCCCACATTTCTCCTATTATTATTATTATTTTTATTTTTAATAAAATGCTGAAGTGGTAGGTAGATGCAAGATAAAGGTAGAAAACATAGTTTAGTGCTGTAAGAAGGCAAATGTAGATGATCAGATGATCAGGTGTGTGCCTATGGACTAAGTATTAATCCAGGCTAGACAAGGGCAGCAAGACATCCACGGATGCAGAAGATTTCTCTCAAAGCAGGGGGGGTGAGGTTCTGAGCCTCACCTCTGTTGATCCCCAATTTCTCACCTGATGGCCCCCCTGCGACTGTGCCTGTCTTAGGTTGTTCCTCCCTTGAGGAATCTTACCCGTCTCTGGCTAACCAGTCATCTTCCGGGGCCATACAGGGAAATGTAAAGTTGGTAAGTGAGAGAGAAGCCATATTAATGAACACATCTTTTTAAAAAATTAGGATTGGGCTTTTGGTTTCATTCATTAGTATAATAAATGTTCCTATTTATAGCAGTGTGCTAGGAACAGCAAAAACAAATTTTCCCACATTGCATGCCCCCCACTAAAATATAACCCAGCCCAAGAAATAAAACAACTGGATTAGTTTTGTTAAGGTATTTTAGCTCATTTTCACTATTTTTAAGGTTGCTGACTAGGGGATGAAGACGTAGCTTCCAGAGCACCCCTAATCAAAAATGTGTTTCTGCTTGTCTCCCCTTCAGGCAAAATTAAGCAAGTAGATGAAAGAATGGGTAGGTGAGTTCAAAATAATTATCCATCAACTGAAAAATAGCCTTAAATTATAGGTACTGGAGTTTTAATGCTCACTTTAGGAGTTAAAGCTTTTCTCATCAGATAAATTTAACTGGACTGCTTTACCTAAAGATTTTGGCAATCCTGGTGTTCAATTTTATACTTGGGTAGTTTTTATGCCCTACCTCGCCAGTTTATTAATAACTACCACCAGTTATGTCAATTCGGTCTATTATATATCTTCACAAAATAGTCTTTTATATATGTCAAACTCATAATAGGGATCCATATAATTTAATGTCATATGGGGCAAAGCAAAAGTATTAACAGATTACAAAGGTAAAAGATTAAAAATACTCATTATTTATATTCTAGTTCTTTGTTACAACATACTCACCAATTTCCTCTGAGGTCTTTATAATTCCAAGATTGTCTCTTAGCCAGCGAATAACAGCACCAGCTATAGCTACAGAACCCTGTAGAAAAAGGAATCCAAGAGAGAATACATGTCATTACTCTAAAAAGGTTTTACTGAGCATATTCTCTGTGTATGACACTACCAGATGGATAAAGATAAAAAATTTCAATGTTGGGACTTCCACAAATATCATTAACTAGGTCTCCTAATACAAACATAGTTGTACCTAGGTCATTACAGTTTCCGTGAGACACGGAACAGAACAGAGCCCTGCAGCACACCCTTGGACCTTTCCCCGTAGGTGGACATCAATGTGACGAGCAGTTTGCTTCATGTACAATTGCTCTATCTGTTGCTAAATGACTGAGGTCCGTCCACACCCAGAATACATTCCCGTCATATCCACAAAGTTATCGGGAGAGGCCACTTTAAATGTTTTTCAATTCCATTTCCCACATCTAACAGTATATAAATCAAGCAACAGCAACAAAAAAGTTAGCAAAGAAGCTAACAACAAAGTATTATTCTTTACAACAAAATCACCAAGGAATGGTTAGGGAGGGGCTGTGGCAATAAAGAAGAAAAACACTATTTGGAGTCAGATGAACTGGGTTTGAGTCCAAGTGCCAGTTCTTAATTGCTATGTGATCTGATGCAAATAGGTTAGTCTTTCTGAGCCTCCATTTCTTCACCCATAAAATGGTAGTGACTAACACCACCTAACTAAATAAACTACTATGAGGCTCAATATGAGACCATAATGGAAAGTTCTTATTGAATGCAAATATTAGCTTCATTAATTACTTTCAAGTGTTAAAAAAGAATCAGCCAAATTCCATTGGCTTATGAATGGATTAAAAAAAAAGTGTATGCACCAATGGAATATTATTTGGCCATGAAAATGAATGTACCGCTACAACATGGATAAACCTTGAAAACATTGTGCTAAGTGAAAGAAGCCAGTCACAAAAGACCATATATTGTATGATTCCGCTTACATAAAATGTCCAGCATAAGCAAACCCATAAAACAAAGAGATTAGTGGTTGCCTATGGTTGGGGTGATGGTGTGATTTTCTGGGCAGATTGTTGCATGACTGTGAATATACTAAAATATACATTTTAAAAGGGTGAATTGTGTGATATGTGGACTGTATCTCAATAAAGCTGTTATAAAAAGATCCTGAGGGTAAAAAGAGTATCAGCACAAACCATTAGGAGTTCCAAAAAGAGTTTTTTTAAATCTGATGTTTCATTTATATAGATTATTAATGTAAATTACTTCCATATAATCCCCCAAACCAAAACATCAGGTGATAGGAAGTACAGGGAGAAGAATGTTTTTATCTGTTGCACACTTCCCTGCCCCCAATTCAATGAACTGAATTACAAATGATCACCCCTTCCTGCTATCAGTTTTCAGATGTAAACAACTAGATGCTGAATATGGTGATAATATTCTATCATTCATAGCTTCTATGAGAATAAGTCACTATATGTTACTGCTAAGCTGCAGACAACCACGATTGTTCTTTACAACAAAACCACCAAAGAATGGTTGGGGCGGGGGGACTGTGGCAAGAAGTAAGAAAACACACTATTTGGAGTCCAAAGTCGCTTTTAGCTGTAAAAAATTATTTGAGGAACAGATTTGACATCACTATGCAAATATAACCAGGCTTTAAACATGGGACAAAAACAATTCAACAAATTCCTCACAAGGGACTCTAACCCACTGTACCCTCCATTTTTGCTAAGAAGATTTTAATACACTTCTTAACTTTGATATGTTATATACTTAGGTTCTTAGTAGGGCCATCAAGGAGAACTAAGTAAATGTTTTGTTTAGAGAGACTTAAGAATTTTACTCTCACATTTCCTTTGGAAGCAACCAGTCCAGGGATGGCAGTGGCCAAACACTAGTAAGCATATAAGATTTTCTAGACCAGTGCTGTCCAATAGAAATATAATGTGAGCCACATATGCAACTCACATTTTCTAGTTACCGTATTAAAAAAGTAAAAAGAAACAGGTTGAATTGTAACAGATTTTGTTTAACCCAATATATTAAAAATATTGTCACTGTAACATGCAATCAATATAAAATTTTTTGAGATATTTTATATTTTTTGTACTGCGTCTTTGAAATTGGGTATATATTTTATACTTGCAGTGCATCTAAATTTGGATTAGCTACATTCCTAGTGCTCAGCAGCAACATGTTCCTGGTGGCTACCATATTGGACAGCACAATTCTAGATCTAATTGAAAAGACAGGTGTCCATTTTCCTTATACTCTCAAAGGACCCTGGCCCTAAATGGCATCTAACCAAGAAATGTGTATATTTTAAATAGTTTTAAGTGAATAAACTATGAATTTTAAAAAGCCAGTGTGCTAGAGGTCTAGTAGAGTGGTTTTGCGGCTATCACTCACAACTTTATACTTTGGGAAACCAAATGCTGATGTACCTTATTTTCACTAAAATGGGCAGGATGTTACATGCATAAGATAAAAATTTTTTTGACAGGAAGCAATATGGTTTTAGCAAAAGGAATATCAAGGCTTTAATTAAAGGTAACTGGTTGGGAACCAGAGGGCATTACTTAGATTAAAACAAAAGAAAAAAATACAAAGCCACTGTGAAGGCTCCAGAAGAAAATTATTTTAAATCTGGTCATCAGGAGTGTACAGGAGTATTCGGTTTGAGTTAAGAAACAGGTTTACTATAAGAAAATAAAAAGTAGATTAAAAACACTTATCTGAAAGAAGTACATAATTTTGGTGTCAGAATATAGCACGTGGTATTAGTTATTAATTTTAAAAAATTAATAAAAATTAGAGAAACCTCCAAATTCACTAAAGATGTGGTCTTTTGAATTCAGAGGCAGGAGATAAAGTGGAAGATGGTATAATGCTTTGAAGATGGGCAGGAAAAAAAAGTACAGGAATGGAAACCTAAAATGATAGAAGGTGACCGTCTATCATTATCAAATAAGTTACTGTCAATTATATCCTAAATACAAAGATCCAATATTTCAGTGTGTCATCTACAAATATGAAACCAACCCTGGTTCAAAGTCATAACCCTCTGGGAAAGGTGCACATAAGCGTAATAGCTGTACTCTAAGAAAAACATAATAGAGATGAGAAGGTATAAGGAAGAATAAATTAAATGGTAACAGGACAAGAGGAATAAATGATTTAAAAACTAGATACATAGCCTGGAAAGTAAAAGGCTAAGAAACAGGCTATGGGATGATTGGATTAAAAATAATCAAGTAAATCTGATGTAATCGCATAGCAGGCAAACATACTTTTCCTTAAAAGTTCCTTGACATGAATGCCACTGCCATGAACAGTATCCATCTAAAGTAGATAAATATTACAAGACAGTTACAGTTAAAATCACTGGGTGTGGAGAAAAATTATGGAAAATTAAGATTATCCTTAAATTGCTTAAAATCATCCATCAGGCACAGTAAACAGTTTTATCTATACTACAGTAATGTATCTCCACATACATAACTTATACTGCACTTAATTTATATAAGATTATAAATGAAAAATCTAATGCTATAGCATTTTTAATTGCATAGAAAAAAGGAACCCGGAGTTGAATTGGGGGGAGCATTACTTTTGAAATGTAATCTATATCATTAATATTTCAGTAACAAATTAGGGAATTAAAATTAAAAGCATTTATTGCTCAGAACATATACTTTCCAAGGAAGTACATTATGTAAGTCCATAAACAATGTTTATAGGCTGTGGCAGACAGATTCTTAGTTAAGGGCCTCCATAGTATTCACTTCTGGTGTTCATGCCCTTGGGTAGACCAGACCCCTTGCTGAACTTGGTGGGTCTTATGACTTGCTTCCAACCAATAGCACACATCAAAGGTGGCGGGGCATACGTGATGAAGTGTGTATGATTAAGGTATACAAGCCTGTCACACCTATTTTCTAGATTCTCTTCCTCCCTTGCTAGCTTTGAGGAACAAGAGGGTCATGTTAGGGACCCTCATGTGGGAAGAAACCTCAGGTGGCCTCTAGGAGCTGAGGGTGGTCTGTGGCTGACAGCTAGCAAGAAACTGAAGCCCTTGGTCCTACAGCCAAAGGAACTGAATTTGGTCAATCACCTGGCGAGTGGGCCTGGAACCTCAGATGAGACCGCAGCCTCCGCCAACACCTAGACTGTAGCCTTGAGAGACACTGAGCAGAGCACCCAGCTAAGTTGTGCCTAGACTCGTGACCTATGGAAACTATGAGATAATAAATGGGTGTGGTTTTAAGCTACTTACATTTGTGGTAAAACTGTTATACAGCAATAGATAACTAATGCAAAGCCTTATACCAAAAATGGAATATCTACCTTAAGAGGGGTGAAATACTCCAAAAAGGAAATCTTAACACTATAATCAGAAATCATAGCAGAGATAAAGTGGGAGATAGGACATTTAGAAAAACCAACGTAGGGAAATGCTCTTTGAAGCTCGTATTTAAAATAGACAAAAATGCCATAACATCTGGTATGTAAACAACATTTATTGAGTGTGTGCTCCATGCCAGCCCACTGCAGCAGTGTCGTAAATGAGACAGACAAGTACCCTGGCCTCAGGGCACTTACATCCTAGTGACAGAATACAGAACAGGGAAGTCACAGATCCTAAGCAAGCTCAATTTCATAATCACACCAAAGGCCCCCAAAAGGATTTTTGTTTCATGGAATAATATGTAAAAAGAGATGAACAAAGAAAAGGAAAAGCATGCTTCAGGAAGACAGTGTACTACTAACAGATGGCAGAGGGAAGGCAGAATTGTTCGACTGCTCTATTTTGCTTCAGTATCTTCCACTACTAGAAAAATTTTCCATCTAGAAAGAATGGGACAAATTTAAGCAATTTAAAATGAGTTTAAGTCTTAGAACAACTGAAGGATCATCTGCGCCCATTCCTTTTTACTGCTAATGAAAACAGGGACCCAGAGAGGTTATGAATGTCAGGCCTAGATGGATCACATGCCAGAGGGTAGGGAGACAAAAAAAAGAACGCTCTTGGTG